CATTAAATTATGAGAATTTCATAAAATGCGTTGTTAATATATATATATATATATATATATATATATATATATATATATATATATATATATATTACTTATTATAAAACGCAGATATTTTTCAACCGATTTCAACAAAACTTCACAGGACTACGTAAAATTACCTTGCGGTGGTTCTAACAGCGCCAAAAATTGGACAAAAACACAATTGTTTTTGCACAAAATCAATTTGAAAACACGATTAAGTGGCGTCGTGAGAATGAAAGGGGGACAACTCATATCGAGTTATACTTATTTAAAACCCAGGTTGTTTGTGTGTGTGTGCGTTCCTTTATATATGGGATCGGATTTCCTACATTTTTCAACCGATTTAAACAAAACATCACTTTTTTTTTGGCAGGTAGTGTTTCTTATTGTCTTGCACACTTTTTTCTTTATTTTTACATTCAGAATGTTTTAAAAATTCTATTTACAAGACAATTGTTTATAATAAAATTCTATTCAATCGGTAGACTCATAACGATTGAAAACAATATTTTTGTTTGAGTTTGACCAATTCGTAAAAAAAAAAAAAACTTATTAAGACATGCGTGTCCGTCAACCTTAAACAATAATCTTTGTCAATTTTATTTTTCAGTCTTTATGATGATCGATACTTGATCTATCTCTTACTGTTACATCCCCGGGCAACGCCGGGCTCTACTGCTAGTATATATATATATATATATATATATATATATATATATATATATATATATATATATATATATATATTATCTGGGGTTATCTGGAAAATTCATGCCGATTTTTAAGGGAAACTGAAACACAAATAATACTATGCCATTAAATATTTATTCGACAAATATGAAACATTTTGTTACACAAACTTTATCCATTTTTTCTTCAACTTAAAGATTTCCTCTTACTAGAATTTCCGTAGATTCGCGGCAAAGAAATCGTTATGATGATTTTTTTTATTTCATCCAAAGAATTAAAATTTTTACCATTGAGATTATTTTGCAAGGACCTGAATAAATAATAAATCTGCAAAAAAAAAGTCTGGTGAATATGGTAGGGCAAAACATCTCAGCCAAGCTGCAATAATTTTAGAAACGCGTGATTTGGCACTATTTGGAGGTAAAACAACACCTTTCCTGTTCATCAATTCTGGGCGTTGTTCTTGAACTGCTGCTTTTAATTCGTCCAGTTGCGAGCAGTACTTTTTAGAAGCAATTGACTGGTTACTTAGCAGAAGCTTATAGTAGCAAAAACTTTTCCAGTTCTACCAGATACACAGTATGATATTCTTAAGATGAAGACCTGCTTTTCTGGAGGCTAAAGTTGGCTCATGTCGGTTACCCCATGATATTCTTTGCTGAACATTGTTGTAAACGATCCATTTCTCATCATCTGACACAATTTGCTTAAAAAGGGTGCATTTTCATTGCGTTTATACAGTAAATCACAGGTGAAAGTGGGCCAAAAAGTTCTTTTTACCCAGATCTTGTAGTACCCAAACATCGATGCGATTTGAGTACATAAGCTTCACTAAGTGCTGATGGATTTTGATAAATTTAGTGTTTCAGTCAATTCTCGCGTTGTGTAATGTGCCTTATTCTCAATCAATATCTTAATTTGGTTGTCATCTTTAGTCAGCGGTCTTCGTGGGCGTTCTTCATCAATAAGGTTATAAACACGAACTTTAAACTTAGCGATCCAATCCCGTACAGTTCTGTCAGCTAAAGGATCAATATCTTAATTTGGTTGACATCTTTAGTGAGGGGTCTTCGTGGCCGTTCTTCATCAATAAGGTTATAATCACGAACTTTAAACTTAGCGAGCCAAACCCGTACAGTTCTGTCAGCTAAAGGATCTTTACCGTACACAGCACATATCTTTTCTTGTGTCATTTTTGCCTTTAGGAGAAAAAATAAGCATCAAGTGTCTTAAATGTTGCTTATAATCTTCGATTGTCATAGTAATCTAAAAATGAGATGAATTAAGTAATTTAAAAATATCTTTCTCAAGAGATAGATTTTAGTGTGCTCTAATCGGAAATATAAGCTTATTGGCCCTGAATTGGCTCTGATCTGGCATGTCGTCTGCAACCGCTCCCTCTGTCTTTTTTATAAATACTTTCTTGGTAACTGCTTCGAGGAGCTGCTTTCGCTGGCTCCAAAACTTCATGAATTTAAGCGTTCTACTAGGCTGGCATCTCGCTCTCACCCTTTCACTGTCGAAATTGTTAAATGCAGCCGTCTCTTCTACTCCAATAGCTTCATGTCTCGCATCTCTCGCCTGTGGAACACCCTCCCCTCTTCTTGTTTCCCTGAAAGCTATAATCTCCAACTATTCAAATGTAGCATCAATCGACGTCTCCAGATGCCTTGATCTCTCCCCTGTCCTTCTCGTCATCCTTTCCTCTATCACTCCTGTTTGTTCTAGCTCCAATTCTCTGTAACCCCATGCGTGCTAGTGGCTTCCCGCCTTGCTTGGGTGAAACAACTTACAATATATATATATATATATATATATATATATATATATATATATATATATATATATATATATCTGTCGATAAATTTAATGTATTCTAAAGCTTCATGTATGAAAAGTATGTTTTGTCTCTCCTCCTCCCCTTCGATGTTATGCACGGATGGTATAATAGATAGAGGCTCAGAATGAAAAATCAGAGCCGGGTTCGAATTACAGTCGGGTTCGTAGCATTCACTTACGCACAAATAAACTTATAAATAAATTTATGAATTCATATCTTCTCCCCTAGCTACGGGTCAAATATTACTGTTTTTATCGGGAAAATAATTGTTATCTTTTAATTTTTTTACTCTACCCCTAGTAAAAAAAGAATTATTTTTACAATTCAAAATATTTTTCGGCTTATCAATGCTTTGGGATGTATTTACATCCCCCTCAATTGTTGAGAAACCGTAAAAAATAGTAATCAATCGATTCCACTTCTATTATTAATGCAAACTTTGCAAGATGTGTTCGCATGCATCAAAACTGGGTTTCATCTCATTAATCTTAATATCTAAAGTAAAGTGGATTCTTCATGCCCCAGGCAGAGCAAAACGACACTGAATTGATTTTATTTCCAATGTATTTTTCGTAAAATGTTCTTTTAAAATGAGACGGATGTTAATCAAAATAAAATAAAAAAATTACCAAATGAAGTTCTTCGGCATTAGATTTTTGTGCAAGCTTGGAAAAAAGTTGTTTTTTTTTGTGCAAGGAGCCAGAATTTAGTTTTGAAGTGTCAGTGAATGTGGCAAAATTCAGTTCAGCACCTACTCCAGGTTAGGGACTGCAACATCCAGGCACCTGGCTCCAATTGCAATCCCTTAGGATTTTCCCTATTTTCACGAATTTACCTTTTTCAATATTTCTCTCTCATGAAACCCCATTTCAAAAACAAACGTAAATGTTTTCACTATGTATTGTCAGGACGTGTTACATGCATCACTTTCAAATGACAAGCGTGTTAATCAAAATCAAATCAAAACCTAATTTACAATAAAAATGAAATTCTTCGGCACTAGATTTTCCTGCAAGCTGGGGAAAAACGGAATGTAGTTGGTTTGTGTGAAAGGAGCTAGAATTGTGTTTTGAAGTGTCAGAGAATGTAGCAAAATTCAGTTCAGTAACCACCCCAGTTTAGTGATTGTAGCATCCGGGCACTTGGTTTCAATTTTAAATCCCTTGAGTGTTTCCCTATTTTCAGGAAATTACCTTTTTTTTTTTTGAATTTCTCTCTCATAACCCCACTCCAGAAACCATTGGGAATTTTTTCTCTACGTATTTTCAGGACATGTCACATACATCATTTTATTAAAAGTATGGTACATCAGCCTCCTTCCGAAGAATAAATTGTCGAATATTTGTTTCTAATATTTTTTTTTTAATTATTCAAATTTTTAAAAAATGTATTTGCTCTATTTTGGATAGTGCTATTCTGATTTTGATTATTGAATAGTATATATTGTATTCATTAAATATTTTAATATGCATATTGGTTTTAGAAATATATTGGTATTATATTAAGGATACCGATCACTAAAATTTCTAACATCTAACATCACTAATTACCGCTATGATCTATGCATCTTATTAGTCGGCCATTTTCTGATGGTCGGCCATTTTTGATGGTCGACCATTTTCTGATTTCTTTTGATGTCCGCATAAGCAGAAATGCTGATAATCCAAAGAGTGCAAAATGATTTGAAAAATCTCCGGCTTATAAATCAATAATGAATTTTATCGGACGATGTTTTTAGACCAAGATCAAATGGATGCGTCACTCATGCATAATGGTTTACAAAACATATACACATATATGTATCTGTGTAATTGTGTGTGTGTATATGTGTGTGTGTGTACACAATTGAAGTTCTCGTTTTTGTGAAAATCACCGAAAATAAACCAAATCATATCAGTTTATTTTTTACAATGGCTTGTATATATAAGCGTAGATGTATAGCATATGTATACATCAGACAAGATTTTATGCATGAAGAGGTTTGATTAACAGAATTCCCTGATTGGTTGCAGATATATGGAAATATAGATAGCTAGATAGATAGGGCTAGACAGATTCACACGCACACACACACACACAAAAAATATATATATATATATATATATATATATATATATATATATATATATATATATATACAGGTTATGAAAACTAGGTAATCCGTATGGGCAAACCCAAGGAGGATAAAATCCAGAGAGCTCAATGTAAATCCAGATAAAATAATTTAAATAAAAACAGACCACTTTTAAGGTTCCATGTAATAAATTATTTCACCACAGCCCTTATAAAGGACTGCGGATCATCAGACTTTACTTCCATGGGTTGAAAAAAAATATATATATATCTATCTATCTATCTATCTACCTATATATATATATATATATATATATATATATATATATATATATATATATGTAGATAGATATATAGATAGATATGAACAGACTGCGATAGAAAGAGATGAATAGACTGAGATAGATAGATAGATAGATAGATAGATAGATAGATAGATAGATAGATAGATAGATAGATAGATAGATAGATAGGCTAGACAGATTCACACGCACGCACACAAATATATATATATATATATATATATAATGGGAAAAAGAGTCATATATATATATATATATATATATATATATATATATATATATATATATACATATATATACATATATATATATACATGTAGATAGATAGATAGATAGATAGATAGATAGATAGATAGATAAACAAAATAAAGTGAAAGTATTCGCATTGATTGGCACTTATCATTTTGAAATTAATTAGATACAGTGTACATTAAAAACAAAATGGTTGAATGGCATCCGCTAATTTGATAAATATAGTATCATTTGTCTTTAATTTTTATCCCTGATTATTTTGTTTTATAATAGCCGTCATTTAGTCAGTTGCTGAAAAGTACTTACATTGTATATGTTGGAAAGAAAATAGCTGATGATTATTCTCGTAAAAAAACTTCCCCATGAGCAAAAATCATATTGTGACTTGCCAAAAGCGAATAGAATACATAAATATACATACACACACAAACACACACACACAGAAACACTCTCTCACACACATACACAGACACGTATCTAAGTATGTATGTACGCATATATATATATATATATATATATATATATATATATATAGAGAGAGAGAGAGAGAGAGAGAGAGAGAGAGAGAGAGCGAGAGATAGATAGATAGATAGATAGATAGATAGATAGATAGATAGATATGCTTGTCTGTGTATATATGTGTGTATATGTATGTGTGTGAGAATGTAAGCAGTTGTCATACTAAAAGTCTTCTTGGTATACCAAAACATTTATATATCGTTATCCCATACACACACATATTTATACATATGCATGTGTGTTTGTTTGTGTTACATGAAAAATTAATTTAAATATTTCTCTAAGTGTGATCGTGAAACAGTCTATCTATCTATCTATCTATCTATCTATCTATCTATCTATATATATATATATATATATATATATATATATATATATATATATATACTCACACGTACCAGGCGCTATTCCAAACTTACTAGTAGGAAATTACATAATACAAATATAATAACCTCATCCACATGTAGTTAAAGTTTAAAATTAATGGAAGCCTTAATAATAAAATGAAAAAGCTAACACTTAATAATATTAACTACGAACACGGCCACAGTGTGCTGACTGTGTTTGGAAGATAAAACTATAACACTAAAAACATACACACAACCCACACACCCAATTAAATTGAAAAAAATAAGAAATAAAATCATCTTTGATAATGGCTAAAAGTATAGCCGAAAGCGCTCGTAATTATAGAACATTTGGACAGTTTCAACACACCATGTGTCCAAAAAAGTAAACACTTTTTCGAACACAAGAAAAATTAAATAATATACTTATATATATATATGTGTGTGTGTGGGGGGGTATTATAAGCTGTAAGTGATAAAACAGTATTTATATACACATATACATATATATTTGTATGTATATATATATATATATATTTACGTCATATATAAGTATTTTATCGGCTTTAACTCACATCACACACACATATATATATATATATATATATATATATATATATATATATATATGATGCAGGGAGTTAAAGCCGATAAAATACTTATATATGACGTAAATATATATATACATACATAAAAAAAAAATATATATATATATATATATATATATATATATATATATATATATATATATATATATATATAAAGACACACAGACATATATATATATATGTCGACATGTAATGGTCGGGAGATAAATCATAGCTTACATATATTTGTATATAATTGTGGAGACAAAAAATAGAAAATAAATACACAGTGACACACACGAACACACACACACACACACATATATATATATATGTATGTAAGTATGTTAAGGAAAATTAGAAAATGAATAATGCACATATTCATTAAATGTCTTACCTATAATTAAAAATTAGAAAAAAAAGATAATAGAAAACTATAAGAAATGAGAGAAAAGAAATGAACTCAAGCAAATTGATCTGACAGATTAAAAAAAAAAAAAAGACGTAGCTTAAACGGCAATAAAATGCAATTTAGTAAACAAGGCAATTTTCCTAGGCTACTTATTAAATTGTCGATAGGAAATGCCCTCAGCAAAAAGATTATAGCGATAGTAGAAATAAAACGAAGACATATTTTGTCTGCGCGGAACGAGAGAGTAATCAGTCAATTGGAGTCATTTCGACTGGATTGGTATATTTTATTGGCATATAAAACGACCGATTGACAAGTCATGGTCAGCCATAAATGAACGATCGAGTGAAGTTCACTTAAGATTATTCTGATTGTTTTATTCCAGCACATTAACGTAGGCAACTTTGTGGCGAAAGAGCCCTTTTCTTCATCGAAAAAAAAGATTCCGCAGTTTGAACCCAAGTAAAGAATAGAATTATTTTTAGCGAGTTAATGCCCACAATCCCAAAATTTTGATATTGAGTATAATAGGTTATAGGTTATAGGTAGAATATATTATTTAATACCGCTTATATATATATATATATATATATATATATATATATATATACGCTTTCACAACATCGCCCACGTGACGACGATGTGGTAATATTTAAACGGAAAGCTGATCTTATATAAAATTTTCAGTTATCTGTTTGGATTAGTTGTGCTCTTATGTTCATCGTCTTTTTCATATTGAATTTGAATATGTTCTAGTGTTAATTATGTTTTATGAATATGTCCTGATGATGATCTAAAATAGACTGAAACGTCCGACGTTGACATTATATTAACATTAATACAGCATAATTGCATATTAAGATTTTTGTTTGTTTTTCTGTATATTTTTCTTCATACTGTCGAATCTATATCCATATATTTGCTTACATATATATATATATGTAAGCAAATATATGGATATAGATCCGACAGTATGAAGAAATATATATATATATATATATATATATATATATATATATATATATATATATATATATATAAGCAAATATATGGATATAGATCCGATAGTATGAAGAAAATATTTACGGAAATAATAAAAACAAAAATCATTATATACAATGATGCTGTTTTAATGTTAATATGTCAATAATATGTTAATATTCTTTTCATTTTTCATTCAAAATACTCAAATTTTAGGAATACGTTATCACAGCGTCGCCCAGCTGAGCTTATAAAACTTTCAATTATCTGTTTGGATAAGTCTTGTACATCGTCTTTGTCATGTTGTATTGATAATGTTATAATTTATGAATATGTCCTGAAGATGGTTTATTAGACCGAAACGTCCGACGTTGACATATTAACATTAAAAGAACATAATTGTATATAAGGATTTTTGTTTGTTTTTTCCGTATATATTTCTTTCTTTCTCTCTCTCTCTCTCTCTCTCTCTCTCTATATATATATATATATATATATATATATATATATATATATATATATATATATATATATATAAACCGCCTCGTGATCGATAAAGATAATGGAAAAAAAAAAACTACTGTTATAATCTTCCTTTACAAGTTTCAGATCGGGTTGAAAATGGAGTGAGTCTTCGCTTTCGAGTCTCGATGGAGTTTGAAGGCGTCTCCACGTACTTGTGAGTGACGAATTATTTTCAGTCGTACAACCTCTTTCTAACAGGCGAAACTGTCAATGGGGTACTGCTGTCACATATGGAGAACGGCTATCCAGTTTTCCCTTATAACCCCCCCCCCACACCACTTGGCTTGAGGGCCAAAAGATAATTCTGGTAGAACGTGAATAAGATCCATCAATAAAAATGCTAACCCCCCGACTCCTTCTGCTTTACTCTTCCGTTACAATAGATAGATTCGACCGAAAATTGAGTGCGTCTTCCCTTTACAACCTTGACAGAGCCCAAACCGTCTCCCCGTCTTTGTGGGTGATGATTAATTTTCCACCCAACAACCACGATCCCACAGACGAAACGTCACAAGCCTATCCACGTACTTGTAAGTAACGAATTATTTTCACCCGTACAACCTGCATAGAGCATGGAAAGCGTCCAAACGAACTACATTCATTGGTTCCGACCATTTACAACCTTCACCCGTCATACCAATTAGATTGCAGCGAACAAGCTTCATTACCTTCGTACTCTACTAGTGAGACGTAAGTTCCACACGTGCAGCTTCCTTCCACAAACTACTGCTTTGTGGAACGGTCTTCCAAGAGGAAGCTTCTCCGACCATTTTTATCTTAATCTGTTCAAGTTGCGAGTTTATAGTTCTCTTCCCAACATATTCCCATCAAAATATGTCTCTTACTCTTTAACGCTCTACCTCGTGTGTCTCTTTGGCTTTGTACAGGGTGAACATCATTCTAAAAACGAAGAAAAAAAGTTTATTAATTTATCCTAATATCTCTGAGTAATCAGCTTCTTCTCACGAACAACGGCATTGTGGAACCGTCTCCCAATCCGATTCTTCCTCTATAATTGCAACCTTAACTCGCATAATCTGTGCCTCTTACTATGTAACCCTCTACCTCGAATCGCCCTCGGGCCTTGTACAGGGTGAGCATCTTTAATAGCAGATTTAGCATTTTATTTTAATATCTTTGGTATTAGCAGCTTCTTTCTACGAAGCGCAGCTTTGTGGAACCATCTCCCAAGAGGATGCTTCCCCGTTCAATACAATTTCAAGCCGAGGGTAAACAATTATCATCCACAGATATCCGCATAATCTGTGCCTTTTACTCTGTAACCCTCTACCTCGAGTGGCCCTCGGGCCTTGTACAGAGTGAAAATCTTTAAAAGAAGGTTTATCATTTTATTTTAATATCAGCTTTCCACGAACCACTGCTTTGAAGAACCCAAGAGCATGCTTCACCGATGAATACAATCTCAAGTTTAGGGTTAACATTTATCTTCCACACATATCCGCATCATATTTCCCTATTAATCTGTAACCCGCATCTTCAAGTGGCACTTGCGCCTTGTTCAGGGTGGGGAAGAATTAAAATTATGCTGCATCTTTATTGTTTTATACTTAAACGCGAATTTTAAAGTAAACGGGTAAATATTGAAAAACAAAATATGACTATGACAATCATTCTTAACTGATTTGGTCTTATGACGGATCATCGTCAGACCCATGACAGAGTGCGGCCCTAGGTGGATAGGTAGAGCGTCTCCGTTTAGATCTTGAGCATCTCATCCCTTTGCAGGTAAAACCTCAGCCGATGTCCTCCGACATAGACTTCAGTCTAGAAAGCGCTCCTCCCACCGTTGCTGTGTCTACAGCTACAACATTAATAGATAGATTGCTCACCGGATACGCTATTTAACAGATGTATGCTAACGACTTGAGTGCTAAGAAAGCAATCATGCACTCATACCAAACACCTTGCTGCCATAGGAAAAATCTTTGTAGATTATAATGTCATTTTAAAAACATTTGATTAAATAAAATTAATAATAATATTAGCAATATTTAGAAAACAGTAAAGAAACACATACAGAATGATTTGCTTCGAAACGAGTCTGAAATTATTGAATGTGCTATGACGACTCCGCATCATGGAACCACTAATATTTCTATACAACACAGCATAGAATTATTCTGCTTCCACGTGCCATGTCCCTTCAAGACGTTCTTTGTAGCCCTTAATACATTTTGTCTTTTTCGTATCGCTCCTAAACCCTGTTCTGCTATGTATTTACTCAAGCCCGCTAGTTTATTTATCGCTGTACCTCTTTTCTTCAATATGTCGTATGCGTATCAAAATTTCCAAGTCGTCTTTCCTCATTAAGTCATTTTGCTGTCGTTATTTTTCTCAACAACGTCATACATGCTCACATATTTGGTCGATGGTATTCTCAGCATCCGTCTGTAGAACCACATTTCTGTAAGGAGACAGTACATCATTCACTGCCATTTAATAGTATGATATCACGTAGAATACAAACACATTCATATACTTACAACAAACTACTTGATAATGGCAACAGAATTATCCGAAGCGCTTGGGAGAATAAGCACTAGTGGCAATTTGTACACATTCTTATTGTTCATAACAGTTAAGAGTAAGGACCTTAGTAAAAATGAATAAAAAATTTCAATAATTTTCTTTGTCCTTCATATACATGGGTTTGGATCGAGGTGTTAATGCGTAAACTGCAGTTAATAATCTTTGTAAAGCTTTCTCAACGGTCAGTCCCATTTGATTATGAAAATATGGAGATTGGACCTCTTGGACTAATTTATTATAGATAGTACTTACATAACGTGCTTCATCTAATTAACCGATGTGTAAAGATATTTTATACGCTATACCTTATACGTCTATCCACATAAATTAACTGAGAAGAGAAAATGTAAGAAAATGTAATGCGGCAAAAGACCGTTTTGTAGTTTTCAAATTTTTTAATCGTCACACAGGTGATACGGACGGAACCGTGTATATCTTACTTATTATAAAACGCAGATTGTGTGTGTGTGTGTGTGTGTGTGTGTGTGTGTGTGTGTACGTTTATATATTGGATCGGATTTCCGACATTTTTGAACCGATTTCAACAAAACTTCACAGGACTGCATAAAATTACCTTGTGGTGGTTCTAACAGCGCCAAAAATTGAAAAAAAACACAATTGTTTTTTGCACGAAATCAATTTGAAAACACGCTAAAACACAATTCTGTCACCAGAATGAAAGGGGAGCAAACTCATATCGAGTTATACTTATTATAAAACCCAGGTTGTTTGTGTGTGTGTGTGTGTGTGTGTGTGTGTGTGTTCGTTTATATATGGGATCGGATTTCCTACATTTTTCAACCGATTTCAACAAAACTTCACTTTTTTTTGGCAGGTAGTGTTTCTTATTGTCTTGCACACTTTTTTCTTTATTTTTACATTCAGAATGCTTTAAAAATTCTATTTAAAAGACAATTGTTTATATAAAATTCTATTCAATCGGTAGACACATAACGATTGAAAACAGTGTTTTTGTTTGAGTTTGGGTTTGACCAATTCGTTAAAAAAACAAAAAATCTAATTAAGACATGCGTGTCCGTCAACCTTAAACAATAATCATTTGTCAAATTTATTTTTCAGTCTTTATGATGGTCGATACTTGATCTATCTCTTACTGTTACATCCCCGGGCAACGCCGGGCTCTACTGCTAGTATATTTATATAAGAGGCGACAACATCAAATATCATTTAAATTTTAGGAGGGGACTTTTCATCACCGCCGAATCAATACTGCTGGTGTTTAATTTTCAAACAATTACAGATTGTTTCTTCTTTTTCACAACGATCTCCAACTGAATATTTGAGTGGAATTACATACAATTTTCAATGATTTTTAAAAAATTAAGGATAAAGTCAGGATCCATAATAAATTACTTTTATTCGGTTTTAAAAAGTCATGCGGTCCGTAATAAATTACATTTATTCATTTTTTTAATAGTAATATGATAATTTATTGAAACAAAACAAGTTCAGTTGACCGCTGATGACAATTCCAGAACAACGCAACTATAAACATTTTTTTCTATCTTCTGCCAGCCGCAATGATGGAGAAAGCATTACCTCGAACCATCGCCAGTGAGACACGCTGCAAGAGCCACTCCGTTTCGTGAGGCTCATAGCACCAATCCTCCGAAGGAACACCATCGAATGAGGGCCAATAACCGAGCCACCGGAGTAAAAAAAAAAATCTATCAGCAAGAGGAGAATATTTAACTATTTTTTTTTATCTCTGCGTCCCGGGCGACGGACTCCGGCTCAACCAAGGACCTGTTCGAAAATGTATCCGCACAGGTCGCATCCCAAATCAACGACTTCCCCATTTTAAAAGGGAAAATGGTAATGCCATCCGGCCGTTTTTCCATCACCTCGGTCGAGGCCTACGGGTTCGATTTGGGAAGGGAACCCAGCTGCATCCAAACCTCTTTTGATGATGTCGTTAATGGCTGCATGCCGTAAAATTACATTTATTATTTTTTTAAAAGTTACGAGAAAAGTTCATAGTTTGCATGTCGTTGAGTTGTCCAAGTATTAATTTGGCGGTGATGAGTCGTCCTGTCCGCATAAATCAGTTCATTTTGCTGTTGTTCGTGACTTTCTTTCCTCTAAATTCTTTTATTCTTTTTTCTCGAATCGTTATACTAAGTAATGGCCCAGATCTTTAAAACTAAGGCTCACCTTTGTACATGTACAGAGTTGAATCACTCATATTACATATTCCTTTGGTAAAAAGGGTTTTCCATTCCAAAATTTTGTCGAACATGCTCCCGCGTGGATGGTTCCACAAACATTAAAATCTTAATCACTACAAATCTAGTATGTCATACTCACCATCGTACTTTACATTTCTTTCTTCGTCCTATTACGTATATATCACACAGTTGATTCAGCAAACCTCTAGCTTGAGAGACTATTGAGATAGATAGATAGATAGATAGATAGATAGATAGAGAGAGAGAGAGAGAGAGAGAGAGAGAGAAATAAAGAAAGAGATATAGGGAAAGAGAGAGAGAGAGAGAAATGGAAAGAGAGAGAGAGAGAAAGAAAGAACGAAAAAAAAGAATATAGAAGTGTTTAACGGCTGTTCCCGTGAAATAGAAAAAAAAAGTTGTCAATTTTATATCTTTTACTTTCATTATTTACATTACTCAGACCGTTGTTCTAATCTTCATTGTCATTTCGGCCGTTGTACGCTTCGGACCTTTTCAATTGCTTAGAGTCTCGAATCGAACCCTTTATTTCGTCCACCGGCGCAGAATGTTTTGCGCAGCTGCCGTCATGATCGCGAGATAGACGCCGTCACATTTCCGTCTAACACCAACATCGATGTGGTGGCATGAAGCAAACGCCGCCGCAGCTGGCGCTGCACGTCACTCTACGGTCCACGCAGCCTCCACAGCCGCCATCAATGTCCTCGGCATTTGTGGTAGGTATGCCGGGTTGCCAGTCTGCTGTTGACGAAACCACTCCGGTCAAGGGCGCGTTTCTAACCGTTGATGCCGATTGTCGCCGCGCCCCTTACCTGTACCGTTCGTCCGCCTGCCAGTCGGTCGGGAGATTTCACGCTGTTAGGAACGGATGTTTTCTCTTTCCCGGACCTCCTTGTTCCACGTACACATTATTTTAACCGATCGCAGATACAAAAACAAAACTCTGGACGGGGGATCGCTCGGCTCGTCCGTCGATGAAGAGCGCGGCCAGCCGCGAGAACTTATGCGAATTGCAGAACTCAGTGAACATCAACACCTCAAACGCAAATTGGGGCCTCAAGATCCCTTATCTCGCGGCCCCTTCCGGTCGAGAGGTGGAAAATAGTTTCTCAATAGATAGTCGAGAGGCATCTCACCGTACACCGCGTCTTTTTTGTCTTTCCCACGCCGAGGAAACCGGGATGAAGTAAGATTCTAGTTCTGCCGTTCAACTCTCCAATTTTTCATTTACCACTGCTGCGGCCTGGTACTGAACTTACAACTCTTTTGGTCTAGTCACTGGATCGAACCAACGTCTTTATCCACTGGACCATGTGTCCTATGATTGGGATTGCCATATTTTTTAACGTTTTAAGCTCAACTATTTAACGACGCGATCGGGGAATTTCTACGGATTTTTTTATTGTCATAGCGCCCGCCATGAGGTTATTTAACTGAAGAATTAAAATTCATCGGAAAATTAAAATAGGAAATTTTCACGGGTTTTTCTAGTAAGATTCGTTATTAGTATAAATATGTGATAATTGTTTGTCTCAAATTGTTTCAATTCACATGAACAATATAATTATTATAATGACGTGACGTTAAATGGCAATGGTGATGTCTCACAAGGCCGTCAGTGTGGAGTACCCAGTGAGGATTCAACTCACTACTCAGTCGTAATTTATCTAGTAATGTAGCCATTGCACGACGTCGAAGTATCCTTTAATGATTTTTTAAGCGCAACTTACATGTGGCACAAGGTGGAAAATGTGGAGCACCAGGTAAGGATTGCACTCACTAATCAGTCGTAATTGATCTAGCGGGACAAAACCTGTTAACCATTACACCAGATCAAAGTGCCCAGGCTAAATAGCAATGGTGACGGTCATATTAGCCGTTTTCCTTATATAGAAATATTCATTATTCATTGACCAAAAAATCATTCGATCAAAACAATTTAAAATTGGCTAGAATTTATTGCTCTTTCTCGTAGTGATGGCAGTTTCCTTCCTAACCATTTGTTTGCAGTAATGTGGAATGTCAACATCTTGGTTATGTCATTATCTTCAGTATGCTGATCCTAGCAGAGTTTCTATTCTATGGGTGGATGGCGTTATCATTTGTAATAATATTGGATTTCAAATGGAATGATGCTTTTATCTTTTATTAAGATTTTGCTTCCGAGGCTTGTCTGGCGATAATTAAAAAAAACAAACTATTTTCTTTTGTAAGGATTCTATTCATACTGTGTCATTTTCATTTGTCGTATCGCTTTTATAAACCTGCATTTATCAATTTGTATTCCTTGTTAATTAAGGAAACACGATGTAGCAAAATGGTTAGCGGCTCGAATTGAGGCGTCAAAGAGCAGAATTCGAATTCCACTCGGGTTCAATGCATAGATAATTAAATTTAATTTTCGTCTATATTTTATCTGTATTTTATTATGTTTATCTTTTTTTGTTAGATTTAATGATTTCCATTGGTTTTAGGTATGAACATGTGCACAACTTACTGTTCTAAATGTTTAAATAAACATCTGGGGTATAAGAACGTTTTAATCCATTTTATATTACTTCCTATGGAGAAAATAGTTTCGGTTTACGAACATTTCGATTCACGAACGGCTTTCAGCAACGAATTAATCCATTTTACATTGATTCATATAGGGGAAAATCGTTATCGGTCTACGAAAATTTTGGGTTACGAACAGTCTTCAGGAACGGATTAAGCCATTTTACATTGATGAGTTTTGTGAAATTACTTTAGGATTACGAACAAACGGCCTTCAGGAACGAAGTAATCCATTTTGCATTGATTCCTATGTGGAAAATAGTTTCGGTTTACGAACATTTCGGGTCAGGAAATGATTAACCTATTTTATATTAATACTATGGAGAAAATAGTTTCGGCTTACGAACATTTCGATTCACGAACGGCTTTCAGGAAACAAATTTCCATTTAACATTGGTTCATATGGGGAAAATAGTCTCGGTCTACGAATATTTTGGGTTACGAACAGCCTTCAGGAACAGCCATTTTACATTGATGAGTTTTGTTAAATTATTTTAGGATTACGAACAAACGGGCTTCAGGAATAGTTTCGGTTTACGAACATTGCAGGTAACAAACAGCCTTCAGTAAGGGATTAATCCATTTTAGACTGATTCGTATGGGAGAAAATTGTTTCGGTTTATGAACATTTTAGACCACGAACGGCCTTCAGAAACGAATTAAATGTGTTGACCGATGTTCCACTCAAGAAAAATACCCTTTTCAATATTTAGTTTAATTCAAATTTAATTTAGTGAAATTGTTAAAATTGAGATTAGTTTTGTACATTCATTAATTACGCAATCATTAATTATCCCAAAGTTTGGAAAAACACCAGTTTTTGAAGCTTTTACTTAAGTAATTACGGCGTTGGCATGATCCGTAGTTAAAAGAGCTTCCAATTATTTCTTGTTGGGGAAATTAACGAAACTCAATTTCGATATCCACTCTTAGAAAGCATATGTCAGCTTGTAAAATCTATGATTCTTCGTATGTATTTATATAAAATCAGTCGCAAAGACATTCTTTATCTCTAAAGGGTGCCTATAATCGATATATTATGACCGTAAGTAAAATGTCATTATGAGAGGAATAAAGATTAAATGCGGATAAGGATCGATTTTAAAGTTCAGCTCCAATCCTTTCTATCTCTAAAGTTCAAACAAAAATGGTTCAGGACTAAATCGCCAAAATGTTTTTAGTGTTTTCTTTTCTTTTCTTCTCAAAGAAAAAACGCCTTTATCATTTTTGATGTAGGCGAAATATTTAAGCAAACCACCATCTTGAACCACATGGGAAAATTCATAACGAGGCTCTGTTTCACAAATCTCGAAGTAGAATTTAACCAGGAACATGGTAAACTAATGTAGTTTTTTTTTTCATATGGGCGGTGTAGAATGCAACCGCAGCTTCTGAACAATGCTCGCAGGTCCGGCATAATCAAATATTGCAGTAGTAGGTATCATCCAGGAAATATTTTGGCTGTGTCTTTTCTATAAATACTTTAACTTGATTGCTGTTGTTCCCAGGTACACCTTAACCTGGGGTTATGGTACCAATTAGGGTCCCAGCTTTAGGCAAACAGTGAACCTTCACCAAACAAAAACCGCTACATTAATCATCTGAGACACACCTCTTTACCTTCCATCAACGTGACTAAATGCTATCATCCAAGAAAGTCACTCATTACGCCTTCTTGGGCTAACACTCTCAGCTAACATAAGGTGGAAAGGCTACATTGAATCCATCGCTAGATCATCTACCAAGAAAGCCAGTTCCCTGTCGACAAGGACAATTTTTCTCTCTGGAATCTATCTTTCATATCTATGTCTACCATTTGTCCATGCTTAGAATATTGCCACCATATATGGTCTGGAGCTCCTGCTATTTTTTTTTAAACTCTTCAATGCTGTCCAATGAAGAATCAGCAATATTTGGGGGCTGATCACGTGATTCGGTTTCTGTCACTTGTCCACCGCCCTATGGTTGCCTCTTCGTCCTTTTTCTTATAAATACTTTTATGCTAATTGATCGGATGAGATTATTACTATGGCACTAAGACTCTATGAAATTTAAGCGCTGTATAAGACTCGTGTCAAGATCTCATCACTTTACAATTGAGCTGGCTAGATGTATCGATAAGTTCTGTGCTAACTGTTTCTTTTTTCTCATTTCTTGCTTGTGAAACTCTCTTCCGCCGCCATGCTTTCTGTTGAGGGTCCTCCCCTTTTTATACAAACGTAGCGATCAAGAGTCACCGTGAGCGTAGCACGAAAATTCAGTAAGAAGTCATACAGCGATACTTCAATACCAAAGACTGTATAGATATATTGCTACTAACCCGTATTTCTGGAACTACTAACCTGTTTTACAAGTTTGTATTATTGCGTTGATATATTATTTTCCTATATTCATTCTTGGCGTTTGTTATTTATTGGTACCGGATTTCATCCCGGAATCCACAGCACTTTCCAGTCAACTTTAATATGCAAAAATTTAAATGCAATGTCAATTATCTATTGTCAAAATGATTTCTCTTTTCGCTTCGCGCTCATTATTAATGTTTCTCTTGCTAATTTTAATACACTGTAAACACTTGTGTTTTAGTGGCGTTACTGACTCGTACAGGGTAATACCGATTAAAAAATGATATATTTTTATATTTTAAATAATTTCATTCTCTATATTTAAGAAAGCTTCAGTAAAAGAAGTTTTTTTGTTGCATCGTTAACTATTATTTCCTGTAGCATGTACCGTAATAATATAATTTATGTATGAATATTAGGATAGGCTTTTATAATGCACGTCAATTTTGTTGATTCTTATTGTCAAAATTACTGTATACCGTAAATAAAGCTACTAGAATTAAAATTCATTTCGTATTTTATTCTGTGACTGTATATTGCGATGCATCAAGTCGAAATATTTTAAGAATATATAACGGATAATTATAAGATAAAAAACGTCGTTAAATGTAAAGAATATAATAAAAATGAATATAAATAAACAGAGGAAGGCGGAATAGGTAACCCAACTGAAACGTATAAGGTATAAATATGTATCAGACAAAATGGCTGCCATTGATGAAAACAATACCCCAGCGAATGGGTACACGTGCGAATGAAGAAGGTAATTGGAGAAAGGAAAAAAAAAAACACTGTTACTTCTCATATATGTAAGCTACTTGCAGAATTAAAGCGACACGGATAGTGAATTAAGCTTTGCTTTTGGTGTAACATCAAAAATATCTAGACTACGGGAAGCTGTCTAATGAAGCTTACCTGTACCGTTAACTTTAGCCAAAAATTATCGCGGAAATCTAAGCTGACCAGGTAGATTACGAATATTGAAAATGCATGAATTTTAATCTACCACTAAACATTTAACTGTGTATAGCGTCACAGTCACTGATCTATCTATCTATCTATCTATCTATCTATCTATCTATCTAAAGATCTTCATTAACTATATATCTAAGTTCTCCATATATATTTCTGTATCTCTCTCTTTATCTCTCTTTATCTCAAGTTCTTCATTTCTATCTATCTATCTATCTATCTATCTATCTATCTATCTATCTAATTTTGTTGTGTTTTGTTTCTGTCTATCTATCTATCTATCTAATTTTGTTGTGTTTTGTTTCTATCTATCTATCTATCTATCTATCTATCTATCTAATTTTGTTGTGTTTTGTTTCTGTCTATCTATCTATCTATCTAATTTTGTTGTGTTTTGTTTCTTTCTTTCTATCTATCTATCTATCATTCATTCTTTTCTTTATCTATCTATCTATCTATCTATCTATGATTCATATATTTTATTTTTTCAGTCGAACTAAAGCGATGGATCTCCTTGTGGCTGTTGATGAAAAAGGCGAGGCAAGTGGCTCTTTATTCTGGGACGATGGCGAATCACACAGTAAGTGATATTCTTATTTCGCATTAACTGCTTCTTGCATATTTTTTATTATCGTCTTTTGTGACACAATAGTTAATTCAGCAATATCCCAACCACCAAAGTAAAAAAGGTCATTATTATTATTATTATTATTATTATTAGAAATGCCAGTTTGTTTGACGAGCTAACGCAGTGTTTCAAACAGACACTTCAAGTAATTCCAAGTCAAGAGATCCTGTTTCAGTTGGTTTGATACGGAGCTGAAGTTCCCAGCATCAAAACTCTTATTGTTCTGATATCATTGCAATGCGTATAATGGCTTAATGCTTATAATGGATTAAATTTTCAATAATATGTGAGTCTGAAAAATTAAAATTATGTCATGGGTTTAAAATTCAGTAAATTCATAGATAAGTCAATAATATCATATATAAAAGAGATTAATAGAATTGTATTTTTTGGTTATGTTAATTTATTCCATATACACCAATCCTATAATTGTATATATATATATATATATATATATATATATATATATATATATGTAATTATTTATTTAAAAATATGATTCCAACGCTACATAAGAGTTCTCATGTTTCAAAACAAGAGCTGAAATCTTCAATATAATTATTTGAATTAAATTGAATTAAAGTACCAAGCTCTGTTCCATCTTCAAGCAAAATACGAGTCCTTTCCTATTTTCTATATATTTACACACACACACACACACACACACACACACACACACACACACACACACACACACACACACACACACACATATATATATATATATATATATATATATAAATATATATATATATATATATATATATGGTGTTGGTGTGAATCTTTAATAAGAAAGCTATAGTTTGTATTAATAATAATGAATCTTTTTCCAAGCCGGTTACACAACTCTGAGCTTCATGCATGATGCAATCGTCAACGGCAACGTTTTTCAATCAACAACTGATGATTTCATCGTATATATATATATATATATATATATATATATATATATATATATATATATATATGCGTGTGTGTGTGTGTGTGTGTGTGTGATTAAATAATATAATTATGTCTATTTCTTTTAAAAATCCGTTATAAAGAAGTTTAAATAGTTCGACCTGACAAAGAATTTGACTAAACGTGAAGAAAAATAAAATTCTCTCCAAGACTTGCATGAAAACTGTCACGTGGTTACTATAATTAACATTTAACTATCATTAACATAGAAAAAAAAATTGACACAAAACGTGCATTGAATTCTGGGAAATGGATAAAAATATTCAACATTTATGGGTCTATTAATAATTTTGTCGTTGACTACATATGTATGTGTGTGCGTATGATTTTACTTAATAAATTCATGAATTATGTCGCAGAAAGAGTTAATAAAAAATTTAATAAAAGCTAACGTTAAGCGACAGCGTTCACTGTAAACATAAACGCACACGTTTTATATGTATGTTTGTTTATGAATATATGACAGGAAGTGTATTTACTATATATTAATATATGCATGTGTGCCTATATAGTTTTATGAATATATTTATGACATTTATATATTCCTTAATGTGTCTTCGTCTTAGTAAAGCTTTTTCATGGATGATATATCTATAAAACGAACAGGGTTGCAGATATAAAACTTTATATTAATCTGTCCGTAGGCAATTGATATCCATTTGTTGTTTATTTTCTTTTAGAAATGGAGTTTAATGACTTTTATAGCGTTCTTTGTTTTTGTTTTGTCTTTTTTTTTCTTCCTTTCTTTTATTAACCGCAACTTTTTTTTTCTTATAATTTAAAATCTTTCATTATTTTCCTTCAACTCAAAAAGCCGAAGATTCTTGGATTAAATTTGAAAGCAACTAGATTTAATTGCTGAGTCTTCTATGCCCCCACCCAGAACATCAACCACATCGAATCCCTTCTCGCCGACCTGAGAAATGAAACTGGCTTTCGCAAAAGCCTCGGAGACATTTTTATTGAATCAAGCAAACCCAGCTCATTTGAATTCCAAATGATAATCCGTTAATCCAATATATCTTGGTCTTCATCTACGCCAAACACAGAAGCAATCAGAACTGGGTTTATCGAAAACAATGATACTACTACTAAAAGTTTTTTTTATTATTATTATTATTCAATGGCCACAGGTATTATATCAGACACAATAATGTAACATCAACGGAGCTTACGGAAGATTTGATTAAAAACGGCTGTAATTTCGACAAACTTCTTAAGGTTCACATTCTGAAAAAATATCCTGAATCCATCGATTTCGTGACCCTTAAAACGCATGAGGATATTTACACAAGCAAACTACTGACTTCACATCCGGGAAATATAAAAAAAGAATGACAGGAGAGTTGCATATGATTTGTATTAAGTTCTTTGATTAATCCGTCTTAGGAACGAATCAACTGACGGAAAATTCCAATATGAGCATGGTCGCCATCCTATTACTCACGTTTCAGTTGTATGCCTAAATACTGACCACATTTCATTCGTTTTGACAAAATAATTACGAGTACCACCGTATTCTCAAGCGTCATTTGTACAAAAACTTATAATTTTTGTAGATATTTTTTTACATTTTCATACTTACCGGATGTAACAGCATAGCTGACCGTCAGACAAAATGTTTATTATTTAAAAAATAACACTAAACTAACTGTCATGAGAATCACTGAAAAACCCTTTCAGTTATTCAGTCAGAAAGCCAACAGGTTTAAACCGTTTTGTGTTAGCCCAGCTTTCTTTCCAACTGAGCAATAGTGAGAGGACAAAGATCATTCAGACCTTCATTAATGTTACAAAACATTCATAATCTGGTATCCATCTTCAAAGCCCATTCAAGAACCATCCTGAGAACAGTGTATATTTTTTTTAAAAAGAGGGAACAAACTGTATCAGGTGTTCACGACAAGAAGAGGCCTCATCATTTTAACTTAGAACTAAAGAGAACAATTAGAAAAAACCCAACAAAATGAATAAGTGTTTTGGCATGTGGGAGAGGAGTTTCAGCTATTACTTAATTGCTGTTGTCCCCAAATGCACCCTGACCTAGGGTCATAGCACGTGCCAGGGTCCCAGCTATTGGAAAATAGTTCCACAAAAAAAGCAGCCCAAAAAAACACAGAAAACACTATTTCCGGCTATACCAGTGTGACAGCTCTCGACACAACTGGTGCCTAATCGATACTTAAATGTATTAAATGAAATCAAATTAAATTAATCGAATTCTCTAAGGAGCTATGTCCCTGTTTTCCGAGAGATTGAGGAACCACATAGCCTGTAACAACTTTTGTTCTTGTGATGACTGGCAGCTCCGTAGTAGGTTATAACAAGTACAAGGTCTCTATTTTCCGCTCCTTCATCAATTTGAGGTGTTATCATCTTGTGCTGATAAAGCTGAATGCTTTGTCCGAAAATTCTCCTCAAACTCTAGTCGTGATTTATCGAAAGTCCCTGCGTAACTTCCCACCTTGAAAGACTATATTGAATCCATTTCTCGGTCGGCTGCTAAGAAAGTTGATTCACTGTGTCGTGCGAGAATATTGTACTCTCCAGAATCTATCATCCTAAATAACTATACGTCTACCACTCGTCCATGCTTAGAATATTGCTGCCACATATGGTCTGGTGTTCCTGCTATTTACCTTGAGCTCCTTGAGAAAACCCAGAGAAGAATCAGTAAAATTATATGTGCTGATCTGTTAGCTCGGCTTCAGTCAATTTTCCACCGTTGTAAGATTGCCTCTCTGTGCCATCTCTATAAATACTTTCATAGTAATTGTGCGGATGAGCTCCTCGCTATGTTACTTATATTTTTGAATTTAAGCGCAGTATTAGACAAGAGTTAATGTTCATCAATTTACTGTTGCGCTGGCAAGACGTAACCGTAAATTCTTTGTTAGCAGTTCTTTTTCTCGCGCTTTTCACGTGTGGAACTCTCTTGTGGTTCCATGATTTCTAGCCAGCTTTAATCTGAAAGAATTTAAATATAATATCAAACGCCATCGACTGTCCTCCTGATTGCCCTTTCCTCTTCTCGCTCATTATTAATGTTTCCGTTCCTTATTCTTCTACATCCTGTAGCCATTTGTGTCTTAGTGACTTTCCTGTCATGCGTGTATCTAAAATTAAAAATAAACTTCTCATTCTCTCTAAGAGTCTTTTAAACATAACTAATAGGCGATGGGAAACAGGTTACATATAATACAGTGAATAAAACGTAATTGTAGTTCATTTGTTTTTACAGAAGACAATTGATAAACAAGAACGGAAGCGTTTTATTTATACTTAGAATCTTAAGATTCTAAGATTCCAAGGGTTTTCGTAAATCAATTATGGTGTCTGGAATGGAATATTGTGATTCTCAAATTCCTCAAATTCCATCGATTATCAGAAGAATATATAACAACTTTTGACGGCCAACAATACGAATTCACCATGCCTAAAGGGTTTCGTCATGTTCTCGATTGGTTGTCTACCCATGTTGAGGCGTGGATAAAGAAAACCTGTTTGCAAAAGGCTGAATTCTCCTCTCATATTTGAATATACTTAATCCGCTTAACACGTTGATAAAATTAATCTATTTGACAGGTATTGAATATTTCAATGAATATTCAACCTTTGTGGGTAATTCTGATTTTGGAAGCATGTCAAGGAGTTTCTACAGTTTTGATCAATTTGTGAATGATCATTCTAATGACTTAATACGAAATTAGTGTTTACGAAAACCTGTTCTTTTCCAGCAATTGTTAAAACCTGCTTCGGGATCCTGAATAGAATCTTCTTCATGGTTGAGAAGTTACTAAATTTAAAAAAAAAATATATTTTAGCAAAAGTTAAAAGAATACTAAACTACAATTCGTAGTATTATTAGCATCGGCAGTAAAGGTAATGATTGTAGTGTAACGGTGCTGAAAG